ATATGGCCAGTCATCCCATTAGGAAATTAAATGTCTGGGGGCCTGCTGATCTCCCTTCCTCCAACTTTCTGAACTACTACTTCTAAGTACCCAATTTAAAAATAAATTGAAATGCAGTTTTTTTCCCAAAAAAGCTCTTCCCAAGTGGGAAAAAGGCTAATTAGCAACAGAAGCTTTGCTTTCTCTGAAGCTTCTGATGGGTACAACAGCCCATCTTGTATGGTGACAATCTGCTTTTTACATAAAAGCAGTGAATGCTATAAAAATACTCCTGACAAGGCGGCCGGGCGTGGTGGCGCATGCCTTTTATCCCAGCTTATCCCATCCCCTTGTAAGAGGTTTTGGGTAATGTGACATAAGACCAGGGAGGAACTCCTGGCACCCCAAGTGGCCTGTGTTCAAACCTTGTGTCAGGTACTACCAGTCACTTGATGGCATAACTCTGGTGGCTGAGGCTTGGTCTCATTTGGAGTCCCTCTGTCCCAGAGTGGCCCAGGACAAGTGTTCACTATGACACTGGCATCTCAGTCTCTCACAAATCAAGGACCTGTGGATGACTCTATTTCTCCCACTCCCTGGGATTCTCAGGCTCCTGTGTTCTTCCATCCTATGTTTTGACTGTACTCATCAATCATGATCAGTCTTCTGGGCTCACACCCTGGCATTGCTCTCTTCGCCTTTATTAGGTATGGTATCTTAAGTTTGTGAAGACAGGGGCCAGGAGACAGCTCACTAGGAAAGTGTCTGCCTGCAAATGAAGACATGAGTTCAGACCCCCAGGCCCCACATGAAAGCTGGGCATAGTGGCACACACCTGTGATCCTGGCACTGGGAAGGTGGAGACAAGAGCACTTGGCATACTGGTCAGTCAGTCTAGCCAATCAGTGAGCTCCAGATTCAGTGATGGACACAGTCTCAAAAAATAAGGTGGAACACAATAGTGGAAAGCACCTCTGTCCTCCATATACCCCTACACGCACATGTGCCTACACACACCACAAAGACACACTCACCCACACACAGAGTTGTAAAGATTAACTTGAATGGCTTTGAGAAAGTTCCTGACAGAGGCACTCACCAGACCAACACTCCTGAGCCTGTTTCTCCCACCCTAGGCCTTAGCCATACAGAGTCTGGGCTACTTCCCAAGTACACATTGCTTGGCTATCTCGGAAAGCTGACAGTTCAGTAATCCATTCAAATTTCTCTTTTTTGGACAGGGTCTCATATAGCCCAGGCTGGTCTTAATTTTCAGCTCTCTGGAGTCAACAACGACAATGAACTTCTGATTCTAATGCCTCCACATCCCAAGTGCTGGGATTATAGGCATACACCACTGCACATACAGTTATTTTTAATGGGGTGCTAAGGATTAAACCTAGGACATCATGCATGGTAAACAAGCATTCTGAGCTTTAGCCCTAGCCCCCCTCCACCTTTTTCTTTTCTTGAGGTGCTAGGGATTGACCCTATAGCCTTGAGCATGCTACTGGAGTACTTACCTCTGAGTTACATCCTTAGGCCATTTTGAGTTTCTATAATTGAAAATACAGCTTCCAGGGCTGAGAGTGTAGTCTAGGGTAGTTGGGACTATAGGTGCAAACTACAAGCCTAACTAATAAAAGATTTTAAATTGCCTGGCGTGGTGGTGCACACCATTAGTTCTAGCACTCATGAGGCAGAGGCAGGCAGATCTCTGCGTTCGAGGCCAGCCTGGTTTCCACAGTGAATCCAGGCCAGCTGTGGCTACAGGGAGATCCTTTCTAAAAAAGACCCCCTCCCCCCCAAAAAGATGAAATCTTTCTTCCCCAAAAAACATTAAAAAAATTTTTTTTTTTAAAGGACAAAAGGGGACTGGAAAGATGCTCAGTGATTAAGAGCGTTGGCCGCTCTTGGGAAGAACCCAAGTTCAGTTCCCAGCACCCACATGGCGGCTAATATCTGTAATTCCAGTTTCAGGGGATCTGATACTCTATTCTGGCCTCCACAGGCACTGCATGCACATGGTGTACTTATATACAAAAGCAGGCAAAACACTACACATCCAATTTAAAAAAAAAAAAGGCAAAAAGGCCGGGCAGCAGTCCAGTTTCCTAAGCCTGCTGCCCTCTAGAGGCAAACCCAATAAACTGCCTTTTCTATTTTTTGTTGTTTTTGTTTTTAGCTGTAATTTTAATTATCTGATATAGATGTCTACAGAGTTCAAAAATCTAAAAACGCAAAAGGCAGTAAAGTAAAATTTACCCATTAGAGGCCCAATTTGGCACCTGAGGCAAGCAGTTATCAGTTTTCCATAAATCCTTCTAAATAGATTTTTTTGCATATGCAAGCAAAATGAACATTTTTTTCCTTTTCTAAAGCGTGAAATTTGAGTTTGTTGAAAAGACACGCAGAGTATATGATATAAAAATGAAAGGTAGAGCTATTCGCACTAAGTGCCCAGCAGAGACCTAATTATTCATAGCATGCATGTTCCGTATGCAATTAGTATAGGATCCAAAATGTAGTGTACTATTCCCTTTGTCTCATGTCTTCTTTTTACTTAACAATATATTGATACATCTCGGAAAGATAGATACATCCTGACTAATCCATCCAGGAAACAACTGGGTTGTTTCCACTGTTTGATTATTATGAATAGAGGTACAATGAATATTCTTATTCATATGACAGCTTACACATATGGGAAACTAGAATTACTAGGTAATTTATAAATATTGCCAAACTATCCAGCACAGAGGCAGAACCACTTTATAGTCCCACTAGCAAGGCTTCCCAAGCCGTCGCCATCAAAGGCTGCCATCTCCACACTGCAGGGGCCGCTCTGAGTCTACTCTCCTTTGTCAAAGCTTCCTAGGGCTTATGATTTGATTTTAGCTGTTTTGGGTTGTTAAATTTTGAAGCTGGCTATTTTACAAAAAAAAGAGGTTTGTTTCGGCTTCTATTTTCAGCGGCTGCAAAGTCCAAGCTGACACTATGTACCTGGAAAGGCTTCCTGTAGTGTCTGAGCATGGTGGCTGGCATCATGTGGTGGGAGCATGCGCAGTGTGCAGAAGAGATTGTAGAAGGAGAGCGGAAACAGGAGAGCCCAGACCTTTTCTGTTTTGTTTTTTTGAGACAGTCTCACTATGCAGCCTTGGCTGGCCTTGAACTCACAGAGATATGCCTGATATTAAGGGCATGTGCTACCACGCCCAGCTCTGTTTTGGTGAAACAAAGGGAGGAGGGGGAAGGAAAGAAAGCAAACTAGGCAGCTAATAGTTTAAATACAAACTTTTCAGGAATGCACCCTGGAAAAATGTGTAAGAATGTAAAACATGCCTACTATTTGGCACAGCAATCTCACCTCTAGGAATTTACACCAGAAGAGTAACCAAAACCTGTGCAAAGATATTTACATGACACAAGAATGTTGGCACTGAAGAAAAAAATCATCCAGTGTCCACGTATGGGAGACTGAGAAAATGCATAGTTGTACAGAATCCCTTTGGATTACTAACAGTTTTGTAACCACCCTCGTTATTCAATATGAATTAATGTATTTCAATTCAATGTATGAAAATGAAAAAGAGGGGACTGGAGAGGTGGCTCAGCAGTTAAGAGCACTGGCTGCTCTTGAAGAGGACCCAGGTTTGATTCCCAGCACCCATACAGTAGCTAACTGTCCGTGACTCCAGTTCCAGGGGAGCCAACGCCCTCTTCTGACCTCTACAGACATTGCATGACATGGGTGCACTTACACACATGCAGGCAATACACTTATACACATAAAATAAAAATAACAAATTTTAATCTCTGTGAGTTCAAGGCCAGCCTGGTCTACATAGTGAGTTCCAGGCCAGCAGGGGCTACTGGGAGACCCTGTCTCAAAAAGACCAAAATAATAATATTTTTTTTAAATAAATGGAAAAAAAAAGAGCACAGCATGGTGGCTTACACTTGCAATCTGAGAAAGGAGGCTGGGGCAGGAGGACTGTCAAAACTTCAAGGCCACCCTAGCTATAGTGTGAGATGAGACCCTGTCTTAAAAAAAAGGGGGGTGCCCTGAGGGATGGCTTGGTTAGTAAAGCACTTGCCATGTAAACATGAGGACCTAAGTTTGGTTTCTAGCACTCATGAGAGAGCCCTGTCACAAAGGAGATACAGTACTCCTAAGGGTGACAACCAAAGTTGTCCTCCAACCGCTACAGGCACGGATATATACAAGCATTGGAGAAAAAAAAAAAAACAGAAAGAATGAAAAAAATGGGGCTGGAACGATGGCTCAGTGGTTAAGTGCTTTTACTGCTCCTGAAGAGAAACCCAGGTTCAGTGCCTAGCACCCACATGAAGTTCACAACCATCTGTTTAATTCCAGTTCCAGAGGATCCATTGCCCTCTTATGGCATCTATGGGTACCAGACACACATCCAGTACACATTACATACATGCAAGAAAACACTCATACACAGAAAAATATTTTTAAATTAAAAAACAATTTAAACATTCTTTGTAGGGCTCTACCCTACTTTGTCACAGAGTAGAAGAGCTTTTAGAATCATGATCAGCAAGTCTTGTTATGAAGTAAAGACATTAATCTTTGCTTTCTTTGGGAAAATTTTTCCAGGGGTATGAACTTTGCATTCTTTTGCTTAAATGTAATACTTCTAGTGCCACACTTAACAGATTAATGAAGACCCAACACAATATAATTCTACCATGTGAATAAAAACTACCTTCAGGGGCTAGAGAGATGACTCAACAGTTAAAGTGAGTTCTTAACTTGCAGAACAGGAGTTCAGGTCACAGGACCCACATGGGGTAGCTCAAAATCACCTGTAACTCCAGCTCCAGGAGATCTAGCACCCTCTTTTGGTCTCCTGGGGTACCAGCACTCACATGCACATACCAGACAGAAACTTTGTTTTTTTAATCCTTTTAAAAAACAAAAAAACCCACAACACTCAGGAGGAAGAGGCAGGCTGATCTCTGCGACTTCAAGGTCAGCCTGGTCTACATAGTGAGTTCCAGGTCAGCCTAGGATACAGGGAGACCCTGTCTCAAAAAGCTTAAAAACAAAAACAAAAAACCTTCACATTGATTTGTTAAATTCAAGCATGCCACCATCTGCAAAAAAAGAAAACAAAACACTGAGTGAATAGTTTGGTCTGTGTGGCAAGCAGAATAACTGAATTTAGAATTAACAGATGGTAGCCAACTAGCACTTCTGCCTGCTGGGAAAACAAGAGGGAGTACCTAGTGTGGTGGTAAGCACCCATTAGAAATCTCAGCAATGAGGGGCTGGACAGATGGCTCAGCGGTTAAGAGCACTAACTGCTCTTGCAGAGGAACAGGGTTCGATTCCCAGCACCCACATGGTGGCTACGAACAGTCCTTAACTCCAGTTCCCAGGGGAATCTGAAGCGGCATTGCACTCACATACATGCAGGCAATACCCTCATACACACAAAATAAAAATAGTAAAATATTTTTTAAAAAACGAAATCTCAGCAATGAAAACGCAGTAGAGTGAGTTTAAAGCCAGCCTGGGCTACACAGGGAAACCTGTCTCAAAAAAACAAAACAAAGCACCACTGAGGTGAATGATATGTCTCATTTCCCAAGGAAGTCAGTTAAAGGTGCACTATAATAGGATTGTTGGGGCTGGAGAGAGGGCTACAGCAGTTAAGAGCACTGACTGCTCTAGCAGACCTGGTTTGGATTCCCAGCACCCACATGGAGGCTAACAACCAAGGTTAACTCCAGTCCCAGGGGATCCAACAGCCTCTTCTGACCTCCTAGGGCATTGCACGCATACACATACAGTTAAAAATAAATAAATAAATAAAGAAAGAAAGAAAGAAAGAAAGAAATAGTGCTCACTTCGGCAGCACATGTACTAAAACTGGAACGACACAGAGACGATTAGCATGGCCCCTGAGCAAGGATGACACGCAAATTCGTGAAGCCATTGCATATTTTTTACTGCTAGCTCAGTGTGACCTCGGAACTCAGGAGCAGGGTTGTGCCTTCTTTTAGTTCTCCACAGCACCAGGCCCCATGCCTCATACATCAGGCATCCAGACCAGTTTCTGGAAGCAAAGACTAAATTAATGAATGTCTTCCACATATATCATAGTTTATATATGTAGCTTACTCAAGCTAGTGTGTTTCTGATTTCTGTATAGCTCTTTATACAGTAAACTTTGATAGTTTAACATTGTTAATAAACAACCTTCACATTCAGAACATAAAATTAAGATGCATACTATATTCAAAGTTGTCAGCTTAACATACAATGAAACTGAATAAAATGTATGTTTTCAAGTAATACATAAATGCTACCAGAAACGAATAGTGTAGACTTGGTATTTTTCAGTTTTTGCATTTGAATTGGTGATGGTATATTAAACATCCGTTATATAAAAATAAATAAAAAATTAAAGTTCACTAGTTAACTTCGGGAGAAAAAGACGTTTCTATTGTACTATCAAAGATGAAATTTATAGCCGGGCGTGGTGGCACACGCCTTTAATCCCAGTGCTTGGGAGGCAGAGGCAGGAGGACCTCTGTGGGTTCGAGGCCAGTCTGGTCTACATAGCGAGTTCCAGGTCAGCTGGGGCTACAGGGAGACCGTCTCAAAAAAGACCAAAAAAAAAAAAAAAAAAAAAAAAAAAGATAAAATTTATACATTTTAACTGTAATGCAAGGAGTGAGTTTCTCATTTTGAGGAGAAAAATACTACCAGGGAGGAATGACTTACTGTACATAGCTGTGTCCCAAAGAAATGTGAACCAATCGAATCGAGTGTTCCAGAAATTACCCACTGGAAGTCTTGGGTAGGGGGTGTGGCTTGTACAAGAGACTTGCCAACAGAGTCAGCAAACACAATCCTGACGTCAACAAGTCGGGTCACTGCTGTTACTTCCAGACTCGTTCCATCTTGATAGGACGTGGTGAGAGCCTTCCAGTGAATGTGGCATGACGTCACACACGGGAAAGACAACCTCCGATCACGGCTCCCACCCTGGCCCATGACACTGACCAGAACCTAGAGGCCGCCAGCTCAGACTAAGCATAAGGGCAGACCGCGAATAGCACCCCGCCTCCTGGATCTACTGAGGTTCCTGGGACCACGAGCGTCTCGGTTCCGAAACCGATCTCGCCGTGACACTGTCCCCACTTGAGGGCGCCGCACGCTCGGATCCCCAGCCACGGGGTCCAAGAGCACGTGACCGGGCGTGGCCCCACTCACCGCCCAGCCAGAGCAGGGTGGGAGTCTGGAGTGGAACCTGGGGGCGGGAAGCAGGGAGGGCGGGGGCGCGCGGGCCGGGGCGCAGCTCCCACTACCTGAGGATGTTGTGCGCTTCCATGCTCCGATTCTGGTTACTCGAGCACACCACCGCCACCCGCAACGGCGACGACGGCATGGTGCCGGCCGCACTACCGCCGCACTGGCTCCCGACCTACCACCCGGAAGCGAGCTTCCGCGAGAGCAAGATGGCGATGACCGGAAATGGGCGACGCGGAAGTGGCGGCGACGTAACTCGTGGGGACGCGGGCGCTGCCTCACGCTGCCCGTGGTCCGACCGGCCGGCACAGTGCAGTTGGCGCAGGCGGGCGAGCGGCGGCCCGACGCGGCATCTGCTGAGAACACCACCCTACGGGCGTCCCGAGCAGCCGCTGGGCCGCCTGTCTGCGTCTGACGTCACGTCATCCGCGCCACGACAGCGTCTGAGACGTCATAACGTCCCGTGGCCGTCGCTTGGAATGACGCTCTAAGCGCTGCGGTGTGTGGGAAAAGTGCGTGGCGAAGGTCCGCTGAGACTTAAAAAAAAATTTTTTTTTTATATTTTATTGTTTGTATTTTGTGTGTATGAGTGTTTTTATCTGCTTGTGTGTAAGTGCACCGGTGTCGCGCAGTGTCCGTGAAGGACAGAAGAGTGTGTTGGATCCCCTGGAACCGGAGTTACAGTTAGCTACCGTGTGGGTACTGGGAACCGAACCCCGGTCCTCTACAACAGCAGCCAGGGCTCTTAACCGCTGAGCCATCTCTTCATCCTCCCCTGAGATTTTTTTTTTTTTTTTTTTTTTTATCGGTTCCCTGAAGTAGGTGCGGATACGCTGCTCTCTCCGGTTACCTCCTCTTCCTACTTGGTCTTGCCTCCCTAGTAAGAGCGCCAGTCCCCAGACGCACCTGTGATCCTGTTCGCCTCCCATCTTGCTAACGAACCCTCCATCTCAGACCTTTAAAATGTAAAGTGAGTTAAAACTATAGATGAGGGGCAGGCATTACACTACACGTGGTGCATGCAGGCAAAACACTCATAGGAATAAAATAAAAATAAGACTTTAAAAATAGGTGAGAAAGCTGGCTCCTCTTGACCAACTAATCGGGAGACTGAGGCAGGAGGATCGCTTCCTTGGTTACCTAGTGAGAACCCCATCTCAAAAAAAGTCGAAATAAGGACTGGAGAGATGACTCAGCAGTTAAGAGTACTGACTGCTCTTTTCAGAGGACCCGGGTTCGATTCCCAGCACCCACATGGCGGCTACGAACCGTCCTTAACTTCAGTTCTAGGGGAATCCGAAGCCCTCTTCTGACCTCCGGAGCATTGCATAACACTGGTGCACTCACATACATGCAGACAATACACTCATACACATAAAATAAAAATAATAAAACTTAAAAAAAAAAAAGGTAGAAATAAGGCCAGGACCTTTTTACTACTAAGCTTGCCAGATTTTCTGAGTTCTAAGTCAAAAAGCGTAAGTTTTTTTGTTTTTTTTTGGTTTTTTTTTCCTCTTTTCGTCTTTTCTTGGTACTGGCCAAAATTTAAGCATGTCTGCTATGATACTCTGGACATTCTCACCCCTTTTCTACAGCTGATTGCAGACCTCCTTTTGGCCCTAACCAAAAAGGCATGACTTCATCTCTGCTCCCCGAAGCTCCCAAGGTTTACAGCTTGCCTGCCCTATTGTTTTTTACTCTTGAACACTAATAAAGTAATCAAGAAGGGAAGAAGAAAGGAAAGGGTGGGGGCTGTGGGAAGTGAATTGAATGGGTTGTTTGGAGATTTCTGAGACCTCGCTTGAGGTTTAGGGTGTAAGAAAATAGTCAGATGCATGGCACACACCTTTAATCCCAGTACTCGGGGAGGTAGAGGCAGGCACATCTGTCTGGGTTTGAGGCCAATCTGGACTGCATAACATATTCCGTGCCAGCCAGGGCTACACAATGAGACTGTCTTTGTTTAAAAATGTCAGAAAAGGGACTGGAAAGATGGCTCAGCGGTTAAGAACACTGACTGATCTTGCAGAAGACCCAGGTTCAAATCCCAGCACCCACATGGCAGCTAACAACTGTCCGTAACTCCAGTTCCAGAGGACCCGACAGCCTCTTCTGTCTGACCTCTGTGAGCATTGCACTACACGGGTGCACTTACCTATGTGCAGGTAATGCACGAATACACATAAAATTTTTTTTAAATGTCAGAGGAGCCAGGTGTGGTGGCCCACGCCTTTAATTCCAGCTCTGCTGAGGCAGAGGCAGGCAGTTCTCTGTGAGTTCCAGACCACCTGGGGCTACAGGGAGACCCTGTCTGGAGAAAAAAAAAAAGGCCTCACCGGTGATCTTCTCCAGAGAACCGGAATTCGATTCACAACATTCCTGTCAGGCAGCTCACAGCCACCTACAATTCCAGGGGATCCATTACCCTCTCCTGGACTCCACATGGCATTAATTCACGCACACATAAAATAAATCTTAAAAAGATATCATTTTCCGTATGACATGCATTTAGATCTCATCAAATAATCACCTTCCCAAGCTGGCACCTAGTACCTACTTGTCTAAGCATTCTTAGCCAATTCTAGGGTTGAAAAATTACAGGCTACGTGAAAAGGAGGAAATCTCCAGCCCCAGAATATACCTTAGCTAAGGCTTTTCATTCTGAACCAATAAGAAGGGGAATCTGGGGAGAGGACAGTACTAGGTACCTGTTAGATTGTACCTCCCTAAAGAACTCAGCCAACGAGGACTGAAGTGGGGAGGTGGAGAAATGGAATTAGAAATAGAAAACACTGGTTCTCAGCCAATCAGGCTTACCAACGAGTTTTGCCTTTTCTCTAGGCTGAAGCCAACTTTGCAAGGTCAAATTTCCTTCACTTTAACTACTCGGAGTCGCCAGTAGTCTTAGGAAGTAAGGATCATTGTTTCTCACGAGGGTCTTCGGGGATGCAGCTTGGAGAGGGCTGTGAATTGGTGTGATGCCAGGAATGGCAACCAACTGCCATGGGACAGTGTAAGATGTGGAAGAAGAACAGTGAATGCAGGCAGCCAGGGAGAACACTGAGCAGTGTGGATGGAAAGTGTGATTCGTTCTCCAAAAGAAACGAGATAGTTTATTTTATGAGCCACATATGAATGACCAGTCTGAGAGCACGGAGTCAGGTCGCTCTGACAGACACATTCCACTGTGAAAGGGTTGGCACGAACTTTTATAGCCCTATAACAAAGTCATAAATAAGTGCATTTACCAAATAAATTGTTGGGGACATCAGATAAAGTGGGTTAAAACAAAGCAGGAAAGTCAAGCCAGGCATGGTAGCACATGCTATTAATCCCAGCACTTGGGAGGCAGAGGTAGGCGGATCTCTGTGAGTTCAAAGCCAGCCTGGTCCACGTAGTGAGTTCCAGGACAGCTGGGGCTACAGGGAGACCCTGTCTCAAAAAGACAAAAAAAAATGAAAATCGATAGGTTTCAGGTTTTTTGTTTTTTTTTTTTCTCCCTGTAGTCCCAGCTATCCTGCAACTCACTATGTAGACCAGGCTGGCCTTAAACTCACAAAGATCCGCCTGTCTCTGCCTCCCAAGTGCTGGGATTAAAGACGTGCGCCACCACGCCTGGCTATATTTCCTTTTTAAAAAGGATTTTATTTATTTTTATTTTATGTGTATGAGTATATTGCCTGCATGTATGTGAGTGCACCCATGTCGTGCAATGTTGCGGAGGTCAGTAGGGGACTTTGGAGTCTCCTGGAATTGGAGTTAAGAACAGTTTGTACAGCCTTGTGGGTGCTGGGACTTGAACCCGGGTCCTCTGCAAAAGCAGTCAGTGCTCTTAACCCCTGAGCCATCTCTCCAGCCCCGTGATGAAGATATATTTTCATTTGCAGTCACAACAAATAACAGAGCTGTTTCCATATTGGACATGAAACCCCTCCATGGCTTCCCCAATGTGCTCAGAATACATTATCCTGAGTTCCAAGGCACCAATCTCTCCCATCTCAGATTTCTCTATTAGATATAGACCAGGCTGGCTTCAATCTCATAGACATCTGCTTGCCTCTGCCTCCCAAGTGCTGGGATTAAAGACATGCACCACCACATCTGGCTGTATAGTCTGCATTTTTTTTTTTAGAATTACATATAAACAGAATCATATGTCTGGTGTTTGGGAGGGAGGAGTTTGATTTCTGTCACTCAGCATAATTATTGGGGTTTATCTTTGAATATTTCCTTTTCTTAGACAGGGTCTCCTGTGTCCCAGACTAGCCTTGAATTTGATATATGGCTAAGAATGACTTTGAACTCCTGGTTCTCTCGCTTCCATCTCCTGAGTACTAGGACCACAAGATTGTGCCACTGTACCTAGCCCTTATTTCCAATCTTGCATTTTCAATAGCTGGCTCATCTTTATGGCCAAGTTGCTTTCCATTGTCTAGACATGCTATAATCCATTCATTCACTTGCAGATGAGCATTTGAGCTGTTTCCAGTTTGGGGCTATTACAGATATTTCTGTTGTGAGCATGTCTGTGGACTGTTGTGAAAACACAGACTTTCATTATTCATGAGTTAGTATGTAGGAGTAGAAAAGGGGTTTTTCGAATTTTTCAATATTTTATTTGCTATTTTTATTTTATGTGTGTGAGTGTATTGCCTGCATGTATGTAAGTACATCCATATTGTGCAATGCCCAAGGAAGTCAGAAGAGGGTGTCAGATCCCCTGGAACTCGAGTTACAGATGGTTGTCAGCTACCATGTGGGTGCTGGGAACTCGGAACCTGGATCTTCTGTAAGAGCAGCCAGTGGTGTTAGCCACAGAGCCATCTATCCAGTTCCTGTTTTGAGTTTTTGACAGGCCTTACTACTTAGCTCAGACTAGCTTCAAACTTGCAATCCTTCTGCCTCAGCCTGCTGAGTGCTAAGATTATAGGAAAATGCTGCCATGCCTGTCAAAAGATATAAATTTAAAACAAAATGTTTACACTAATTTTGTGTGTGTGTGTGTGTGTGTGTGTGTGTGTGTGTGTGTACTCACTCGTGGAAATCTAAGGACAACTTTTGGGACTCAGAGCTCTTCCTCCACCATGTGAATCCCAGGGATGGAAACTGTTCATTAGGCTTGGTGGCAAGTACCTTTACCTGCTGAGCTATCCCACCAGGCCATGTTTTGGTTTTTGAGATAGGGTCTCATGTGGCTAAGGCTGACCTTGAACTCCCTAGTCATCCTGCCTCACCTCCCAAATGATGGAATGACAGGTTTGCACCACTACACTTGGCTTAACATTTTTAGGAGGTACAGTTTATCAACTTGTTTATTTATTTATTTTATGAGTGTATTGCCTGAGTGTAGGTAGGTGCACCTACATCCTGTAATGCCCTAGGAAGTCAGAAAAGGGTGTCAGATCCCCTGGAACTGGAGTTTCCAATAGTTGTTGGCTACCATGTGGGTGCTGGGAATTGGGACCTCTGTGAGAGTAGCTGTGGGGACCTAAAGGCCCCACTTTGCATAGGTCCAAAAGGAAGTTACTGGGGGCGTGGCCTGGCTTGCTTTGAAAGTCTGAGGAATACTTCCGCACTGCTGAGGGGTGCATGATCAGCGCGTGACCATCCTTAAGATACACCCTGGGGGGGGGGGAGTTCCAGGTGCCTTTATAAGCCCTGGAACACTTGCAATAAATGAGTCTCTGCTTGACTAGATTCCCCATTGCGTCTGAGTGTCCCCGGTACTGGGGCGGCGTGGGCTGGCGAACGGCGTGCTTACTCATCCCCAATCATCACTGCCAGGGGGTCGCTGGTTCGAACCCCCAGCAAGCAGCCAGTGCTCTTAACTGCTGAGCTATCTCTCCAGTCCCTCAACTTGTTTTTTCTAGATCATGTTAATAGTATCCAAAAGGAAAAAGATGTTGAGTGGGACTAATGATAACTTGTCACTGTAGGGTAGACCAGTGAAGCTGAAGATACACCTAGAAACCGTGAAATAAGGCTGCAGATTCAGCTGTTGGTAGTACTTACGTAGCACACACAAAAACTTGGATTTGATCCCCCATACTGCATTAGGCCAAGCATTGTGGTGCGTGTCTGTAATCCCAGCACTGGGTGGGTCAAGGCAGGAGGAGCAGAAGTTCCAGCTCATCCTTGACTACATAGTGAGTTGAAGCCAGCCAAGGCTACATGAGACTGCCTTAAGAAAAAGGGGGGCTTCTGGAAAGATGGCTCAGTGGTTAAGAGTATTGGCTGCTCTTGCAGAGGGCCTGGATTCAGTTCCCAGCACCCATATGGTGGCTAACAGCCATCTGTAACTCCAGTTCGAAGGGATTCAACACTCTCTTCTGACCTCTGAGGGCATTTCGTACACATGGTGCACTTGCATACATGCATGCAAAACACTCATACACATTACATAAAAATAAGTAAAAGTAAAAAAGGGGGAAGAACAGGAGGAGCAGGAGGAGCAGGAGGAGGAGGAGGAGCAGGAGGAGGAGCAGGAGCAGGAGCAGAAGGAGGAGGAGCAGGGGAAAAAGGGGGAAGAACAGGAGGAGCAGGAGGAGCAGGAGGAGGAGCAGGAGCAGGAGCAGAAGGAGGAGGAGCAGGAGCAGGAGGAGCAGGAGGAGGAGGAGGAGGAGGAGGAGGAGGACCACCACCACCACCACCACCACCACCAGGAGTATAAGGACCAGGACTGCAAAATGAAGGCAGGCAAATACCTGTAATATGCACACTCAGGAGGCTGAGACTAGAGGATTGTGAGTTTGAAACCAACCTGAGCTATATAGCAGGATCAAAAGAATTAGAAGTGTTGTAACACACACCTTTAATCCTGAGAGCACTTGGGAGGCAGAGACAGGTGGATCTAAGAGTTCAAGGTCAGCCTGGTATACATAATGAATTCCAGGCTAGCCAGGGCTACACAGTGAGACCCTATCTCAAATAAATAGAAAAATTTAGTGCTTGGTGACTAGTAAGTGGACTTATTCTTCTCCATGGAGTTGGTCTGTAAGTTGGGTTATGCCCCCCACCCCCTAGTTTATATATATGAATGATGACTTTGAATTTATCCTCCTGCCTCCAAGTCATGAGTGTTAACCACAATGCCTGCCTTATGTGGTTCTGGGGATTTAGCCCAGGGACTTCTACTAATTAGGTAAGTGTGTACTTAGATACTTAACAACTGTGCTAGATTTGGGTTTTTTATTTTTTGAGATGAGGGTCACACTATGTAGCCCTGGCTGGCCTGGAACTCACTAAGGAACTCACAGAGATCCATCTCCCTCTGAGTTCTGAGATTAAAGGTGTGTGCCACCATGCACAGCTACAGTTGGGACTTTTACTTATTTCAATAATAAATGAGAAAACTAAGGCCCCAGAAGGTTGCATGACTTTCCACTCTTTTCCAGGACTGAACCCAGGGCTGTGTCTGTAAGTCAGTCATCCTGCCACTGAGCTGCACCTCAGTCCAGCTGTATGGTTCTTTTTCTTAATATTTATTATTTTTATTTTATGTGTATGAGTGTATTGCCTGCATGTATGTGAGTGCACCCGTCATACAGTGCTGCGGAGGTCTCCAGCACCTGTACGGTTCTTTTATAAGGCAGAAAGAACCAAAACTCCAGGTGGAAACAATATAAAACTTAAGAACTGGGGCTGGAGAGATGGCTCAGCGGTTAAGAGCACTGACTGCTCTTGCAGAGGACCCGGGTTCGATTCCCAGCACCCACATGGCGGCCATGAACCATCCTTAACTCCAGTTCCAGGGGAATCCGAAGCTCTCTTCTGACCTCCACAGCATTGCACGACACAGGTGCACTCACATACATGCAGGCGATACACTCACACACATAAAATAAAAATACTAAAGAAAATATTTAAAAATAAAGAACTTTATACATCAGGGAGAAAGATGAGGTCAGAGTAAGCTTTCAGAATATCACCTCCTGGGAAGAGGGAGGTGGTTACAAAAAGAGTAACCCATCTACCCTCCCATCTCCACCTTGACCTTATGAGCCTGCAATCAGAGGAGCAGTCAGAGATGGTCTCCATGATCCATGAGAGACGGAGACAGAAAGAGTTCATTCCAGGAAATGGTGGGTCTGGGGGCATTCTGGCTGAGCCTCAGGAGAGGGACTGTCAGCCTTCCATGTGGACCAGGCTGTCTGTGGGAGGCTGATGGCCCTAGAGGTGACCACCTGGGAAAGGAGTGGTTTGTAGGGATGACCATGAGCTCAGATGCAGGCACCCTTGGTCTGGACTCCTGATTCAGGCCAAGTCTTGTTCAATGTTCCCTGCAGTGGTAGGGATACTCCAGCTCCAGCTCTATAAATTCAGAGTTGGACTCTGGTCTCTGAGAAGTGCCTCAGAGATAACTAATAAGAGAAGCCTGTGGTTTTCTCTAGCAGGAACCCCCATCCATCTGAAGCTGAATCAAGTCCAGGACCTGGGGAAGTCTCATGGACCTTTAGCTGCAAAAGAGGCCATATTGGCCCAGCTCTGGAATCCAACTCTGCCTAAGGAACTAGAAGTTGAACACGGGGGCACTTCAGACAGCTTTGCCAGGACACCCATTCCTGCCCTTTACCGGCTAAAGACACTAGAACACACTTCATAATTAGCATAGTACCCCTAAGGAACTATGCATGGAAGGAGTTGGCTGGACCAGGAAACCCCTCCTGTTCCTGCCTTGGCTGTCTAGCCACTCCGCTGTTCCCCCACCCCTCTGATGAATCTAGGCCCATTAGTACACCCCCACTCCCTCTGGATGAGTCACTCCTCAGAGCTGGCTCACCCCTGCCTGGGTGCTTTTGCTTCCTTCAGCATCACAGGTGCTCTGGAGTATCCCAAGGACATTTCAGGTGGGGAGAATGAGTGGTGATTCAGTACACGTTCACACAGCTCCAGGTTCATTCTCATCCTCCCCTACCATCCAGCTCTAACACCCCATAGGAAGGCCCCATGCTGGGGAGGGGACCCCTCCTGGAGCTGCCTAAATGCTGCTTGTCACAGCTCAAGTGGGTAACCCTGAGCCAGGGCTATTTCTAACCGCAGCCAGTGCCGCCTCCCCACTCCTGCCCAACACAGCTGGCCCAAGAAGAGATGTGTTCCCAAGGTCTGAGGGTGGACAGACAAGGTATAGACATACTGCTTGTACTCCTGCCATAACTGCAAGGTCCATATGCCAGTGAACACTGGGGCTGACTCTGCCCTCCAACCCCACAGGACCAGTGCTTGAGGCCCTTGAAGGAACTGAGTCCACCTTGCCTTCCTTCAGCCCTACCCCTCCCTTCTACATCCCAAATAAACACGCAAGACAGTGGTTTTGGTCTGAGAGTGATGGACATTTAGACGTTGGCAACTGACCAGCGCCTCGCAGGGAGCGGGCAGAGCAAAGACAAAGAGGTAGGGCATGGGTGCTGCCAGCCGGGCCCAGGGTTGGTGTGGTTGCTGGGGTGAGACTGGAGGATTAGCCAGGGTCAAGTCCAGTGGTCAGAGCCTGGGCTCAAGGGCAGCTGGGCAATGCCTTCCTCCTCCCAGTGCCCAATACCACCAGGTGGCTGGGCAACCTCAGCCAGGTGCCTGGGTCTGCCAGAAGGTGGGCAGGGCCAGCCTCTGTCCACGTGGAAGGGTGGGCAGCATCATTGAGGTCAGATCTCAGGCTCTCCACTCTCTAGTGTGAGAAGGGCTGGGGCTAGAACAGCTGGTCACAATGTGGCCACTGAGGTCTCCTGGATTGGTTGAGGCTTGGTACCCAGACCACAGAGAAGGGTCTGGCTAGGCAAGGCGGGCAGCTCACCTTCTGCCTTCAGGATCCGATGCTGTCCTCCCAACCACCTGTCTGCTCCCATCCCCCAACACCCCTGCCCCAAGACCTGATCAAGGCAGTACAAGCAAAAGGAAAAGGTGACTCCCCAGCCTCCCCAGGTGGAGGACACTCACCCCTGGATGCAGCAGCTGGATGCTGGGGCCCAGACTGCTGAGCTACATCATGGCTCTCGGCTTCTCTGACACCCACATAGGAAGACACAACAGGGCCTGTGTACCCTTGCCCCAGGCTCCTGAAAAATCTCGAAGACTGTGTGTCCTCACTGGGACTCTGGCCTGAAGCATGCATAAGCCAGCTAGTCCCAGGGCCACAGACCCCTGTGGACAGCTGAGGGATAGTGGGTGGCTCCTGCAGTGGGCCAGAGATACTAAGGCACAAAGCTAACCTAAGCCCACTGGGGTAAGGTGGGATGGGAACAGGCTCCAGAGGCCACTCCCCACCAACCTGCAAAGCACAAAGTGACCAGGCAATGATCATGGCCAAACTTTGACAACCTGGCACAGGATGGAAGTTCAGGTTGAAGATCCTGGGTGCCAGTAGTGCTTGCTGGAAGAGACCGTATGTTCTGGCCGCCCCCAATAAAGGCCTTGGAGATGGGGGAGACCCCGGGACACGGCTAGCACCCCAGCCCGGCCCATGGGCCAGTCTAGAGCCTGAGTCTGGGAGGCAGACAGCACACTTGGGGCTGGCACGGTCGTGGAATGATGCCAAGGTCCCTGCGTGGGCTAGCCGGTCCCCTATTCGTCTCCATCAGGCCCTCCATGGAGATCCTAAAGAGGGTGAGGGAATGAGGCGAGGGCGAGCAGGCGGAGGGCCTGGGGTCTCAGCACACTCGAGCAGGTGGTGCCGGCTGCCTCGCGCTTCATGCCTGCCTGCGCTGGCTGGGCCGCCGGAAGGTCGGGTGCATGAGGTTTTCCGTGATGTAGGCCACCAGCAGGCAGATGACCACCAGCATGACGCAGATGGAGCCGCCCACCGCCGTCATGGCCACCACGATCTCCTGCATAGCTGCGGGCTCGGCGGTGAACTCCACGCACTCCGCTGCGGCGGGCTCGGCGCGTAGCGGCAGCGCCTGCAGGCACAAGCGGTAGCGCACGCTGTCGTGCACGTCGGGCAGCAGGTAGTCGCGGCAGGAGGCGCCCAGCAGCACGCGATCGCACGGGAAGCGCGTGTAGGTGCCACGCCACGAGCAGTTGAGCGCGAAGGCGCGCACGCGGCGCGCCTCGGCCGGGGCCAGGCGCCACTGCAGCAGCACGCTGCGGTTGCGCAGGACGTGGGCGCGCAGCGAGCCACCCGCCGAAACCAGCGTCATGCAGCCGGGCGCCTGGCAGCGGAGGCCGCGCGCGG